TTGTTCAATTACCCACAATTATCACTTAAATATCCGAAATCACACCAATAATTCATTATTGGTATAAGCGTAACACATTGTAATCCCACTTCTAAATTGTTAGGACCAATTAAACTCGAAGTTGGGAACAATGTCTTGATATTTCAGTGCAAGAGAATAATATATAATTTGGAACTATTCGCGCTTCCGTGTCCCTGTTAGGAATGTCCTTCTCATCCTTCAGCTACCTCTTGGCAGCCTCCACCTGCGTCAGTCCATCGCCTTGTAGGGGAGGGGATAGGACCTATACCACGTGACATCAGAGATGTCGCCAAGCAACCAGTGGTTCCTTGAACTGTTGCTCTTATTACTTCCTACAATATAACATTTTAAAGGTAATTCTCGATCCCCAAAACAAGATGTGTTGAACGAAATTATATTTAATTTTCATCGAGTCATCAAAGATAATTTCCATTTTTAACATTATGTCATTCTCTAAAATTTACATTTTTGATCAATCATCAGTGTTCTGGATCCGACGAGTCGGCATATATCATTTATCAGTTCAAGGATCTCACTAAAATCTTCAAAATGATGTCTGAAATTTTGGATAGTATCCTCTTGATCAGGTGCTATGAGTGATTAAGTTAACATATCAAGTTTTGAAAATTTCCATTTTCTTAGTGCTTATGAAGACAATTTCGTTTCTTTTCATGATTGTTGGGAAATATAATACACTTCTTTGATACTATAGTAGGTAAGCTTCAATTTGACTTCTGAATTAGTGTATTATTCATTTCTTTTTTTAACCTCTACTGCAGTTCAGAAACATGCCGTCTAAGTAGACGGAGGGAGCCAAAGATGACAGCCTTCTGAATTTGGCCATCTAATATGAAGGCATTACTGGCCTACTGGCCGGGATGGTTTCGAGTGCAGATTTGAAAGACTGCTTCATTCTCCCTAGAAAGCCAATAATGAAGGCAACTAATTTTACTTTGAACCCCTGGTTCAGTTGACGTAGCTCAAACAGGAGTGGCCGATACTTGAGTCGCTTATCCTCTTCCTTAGATATTATATTGCGAATTTTGTCATCGTAATCAATGAGGACAATGTCAGGTTCGGTTACAGCGATAAGCCTGACAGTCGCGAATGAGAAGTTCCAGTAGATCTTACACCTCTCATTCACAATGACGGAATCAATATCTCCTGAAGCATAAGGCAGCATCGGCGTTCTGTCTACCGCACAGGAGAATCGCAAATGATAATGTAGCATTCTCAAAGCCGTATTATGATGATGAATATAACTCATAATTGCATAAGTCAGAGAAGCCGCTAAAAGATGCGTTAGAGTTTCCGGGAACTGTCTGCAAACCCGGCATCGAGTGGATGCAACTTGCACTCCCATAACGCGACTCCGACAGCCCATGGTGTTTATGACGCCATCCTGACACGCGCAAATGAAACCCTCCGTTTCGGATATCAAACTAGCCGACTTCAAGAAAGAAAACGTCAGCTGGACGGACAGACCCTGCTCTTACTCGTGGCGAAAGAATACGCTATGCATGGGCTTGCCGACGGGCTGACGGAGCAAGGTGGCTGCTCCGCCTCCTTGACTTAGTCATACTGGCCAGTGAATGACGAAGGAACTGGCCATCTCCACCACAACGAAAGTCCAGACCGAGGGAATTTGCTGCGGTATCTGCTGCCTTATACAGAAAGGCCTGGACCGCATGGAGTCAATGACCATGCACGAACTCCAAATGCGGATCCAAGCCGTTCACAAGGTAAACCAAAGACCAGACGTTCATGGAGAGATTCGAAACTGAGAACTCCACGTTCTCCACTCGTTCACGGAAAATATAACCGTGTACACGAACAGCGTGGATGCAGGCTCCTGCAAATGTTCATCAGCTTGCGGATATCTCTGTCTAACTATCTCAGGTCATCTGTATTCCACTTGAGAGCACCAAAAGGGTAAAGACGCACTGAAACAGAAAACGTATTGGTTGCGGTAACTTTATTCCTGCTCAAAAGATCGGATTTTCAAACGTTGCGGAGTCGCCGCCAATATTCCCCGCGAAGAGTCTCTTTGACTGCAAAGCGTCCACTATAGATCGCTGATTGGAGCCAAGATATCGGTATGACTTTTCGGCGCCAAGATGATGTATGATGCTTCCATCCACAAGTTGAAGATCACCCACCTCGCGGCCGACTTTGCCCCTGTTCAGGTGGTAAACGACGCATTTGTACAAACCGAACCTCATGCGGACCGCACGTGAATACATCGCAACAACGTCAAGCTAAAGCTAGAGTTGTCGCTCTCTTGAGGCAAATAGTTTGAGGAGATCCATGTAAAATACATGGCTTACCTGATGCCACCTATCACCAGGTCTTTCGGCTTGATGTGCTCCAACACAATGTAGTGCAACAGATAGTGGCATTAGTGAGATGCAAAATAAAAGAAGACTCAGGCTATCACCTTGAAAGATTCCTCCCATGAATTGTACCAACCCTGAATTCAGCTCCCCTTCACCAGATGTAATGGTGAAGCGCGTTCTCCAAAGTGGAGCAAGATCTTCAATGCACCTCTCTATGTGGCCTTCTATACGAAGGCACTCCAATGGCAGGAAAATCAGCTCATGACTCGTGCTATCGAATGCCCTTCGATAGTCGACCCAGACAACTGACAGATTGCGATGGTACTGCATCGCGAAATACGCAGCGATCGACGAGTAAACCTACCTTGCAAACTGCCACCCCCTGCTTCACGGCTCGCTGTTCATGAATTCCCTGCCACACTGGCTGTATTCATGGAGGATACGCTTAGTCAAGATGCCTGTGAAGAGCTTATATAGTAGTCAGGCACGTGATCGGTTGATAATTCGCTGGGTCCGACAAGTCTCCTTTCTTCGGGAGCAACACAGGTCTTCCCTCCACTAGCCACTCAGGAAGAACTTCACAGCTGTCGATGAATGCCGTGAATATCTGAGCCAGATGGCCATGCACAGAGGTAATCCTCTTCCACCAGAAGGCGTTGAAACCATCAGGCCCTGGAGCGGCATGGTTCTTCATGCCTCATAATGCAGTGGGGACCTCTTCCTGAGTGACATGTCCCCCCAGATGTACAGGAAAATCTTCTTTAAGTGGAGGTTCTGTTTCGGCGTTGATGCACTGGATTGCCCGGGATTTTCCCACGACTTTTTACGTTTGGGATTCTCGTGAAAAATATACTTGTCATCACCCGTCACAATTTTCTCCAAGAAGGTCTTTTTTTGTTGCCGGGCAAGCAGTGAAACGCACGTGTTCATACGTTGATCCAGGTTGTGTTCGGTCAATACATGTGGGACCCACCTTACAAGTTTTTGGATTTTTCCGATTTGGTGCAAACGCTTGGAAATAGCTGTTTGGGTGACTCGTAACTGAGTTGCAACCTCTGACTGCATTTGCATTGACTCTTCATTCAGTAGAGCTTGCAATTTCGCATCTTGAAGCTTTCGAGGCTGTCCAGGGCGCGTCTGCTCACTAAGATCAAAATCACCACTTCTAAAAATTTGTACCAATAATTAGACGTTTCGTAAGATACAACGTCGATACCAAGAACCCTACATATTGATTCCTGTGCTTTAGAAGAATTTTTTCCTTGTTGGAATCCGTATAAAATGCAGTGCCGAATGTGCTGTTCATCAGTTGCCATCGTAAACTCTACTTTTCCGAGAAGTTATGTAACTCACGTATACTTGCCGTTCGGTGTTCTGAAACCTTTTGTCCGATCCTTTCAAAACCATAAAAGACCGCGAAAATATTTCTATTTTTAATATAATTTTAAGCCATACACATAATATTTGATGAAAAACAGGACTACAGTGAGTAGAACATTGTCTTTCTTTTAGATTGTCACTCATTCAAATGTGGGATGAATATATGCAAATTGTGATTCAGTGAAGTCACAATTCAGATATTTCTGGGATAATCATATCATCCTTAGAATGATTAAAAATAGGCGAGTTTATTGATAGTGTATAATGAAAATAAAATGAGATTAGTCATTGAAGATTATTGAAATTATTTGAAAATAATGTCAGACCGAATTGAAAAAAAACTGAATTATTTCAAATAATGAATGCAAACATACCGATGAAAGTGGTGGAGACAAAAATGAAAATAAAAAAAAATACCGAAAAGATATGCTGAGCGACAACGGCGGAATAGGAAAAAGAAAGGGATATTGGAAATCGAGAAAATGAATCTGGAGCGTGAGAAAGAAAAGCAAGACGAATGAAGATGAATTGAAGTAGAACACTACGCTAAATATTTTTCGAGATTAAAGAAGTACGTACTGTAGTACAAATAGAAAAAATAAATGAATGAAATGACCTCGACTTGTCATTCTGTAAATATTATTGAATGAATGCATTAACCCCCGCAACGTAACTAGCGCACGCGAAGCGCGCGTCTTTTCTAGTTTTTACTCAAAACTAAGCAGTCAATTGTGTTTTGACTCCTTGCGACACATTTCTTCCATATAACGAACTGAGGAAGTACCTAAATAATGATCCCGGCTGAGCTTTTTATAACTCAGCGCGCCTATCCTTGTCTGGCTCGCAAACAATTGATTCAAAACAAATACTTTACCGACTTCGTCCACAACGTACCATACTTTGCATCGCTCCCATGTCTGCTTTTATGAGTAATCATGGAATGTTAAAAATTACGGAATGTTCCAGCCCTGCTTAGAATTCTCTGAAAACTTCGCCAATCATCTAGAAAGCTCTCCAATTTTCCAAGGTTTGATAATTCTTCCCAGCGTATCCCAATAAATTTTGCAAATTTCTGATATCTCCTCGATTGATTTTTGAGTTTACGAGACTCTTTCATGATTCATGACTCTGCTAAGTATTTCGGAAATATTTTAGATCTTGACCGGCAAACAACTGGTCCCTCGTGAGCTGACCCACGAAGTATTAGTTTGTTTCGATTTTTCGTACTTTGAAGGCATATCAGTTTCAATTGAAATTACTTACAGAGGGTATGGTGCTGCTTCCACCGCGGTCAAAATGCCGACGGATATGAGCACTGCAAGGATCGTCCACGTCATCGCCATTCCCTTCTGCATTTTCTGTGTACCTTTAGTGTGTGACCTGAAGCATTAGAGAAACACGTACAAAAATGTATTATTGTTCCAGCTTCAGCCATATAACAGAATTGATTCCAAACTTCGCATGAATAATTTTTTTTGAGGGCAAGCATCATTATTTCTCTGCATATTTCTTTTTTATAATACCAAGAAAAAATTATATTTATTCGAATGAAAAACAGAATTTGAAAAGCAAAAATATTTCATAATCCTCCTTCTTTCAGCTCCACGGTCTTCTACCATCCTTATAAGATTACCAATTTCGTTAGTAAAAAACAACGAAACAAAAACGTAGAGTTTAGCGCATTGAAAATCGAATGAAAATGAAATTAGCGGAATCAGACGACCATGTTTTGACCATAAATTTCAAGAGCTTTTGGCACAACGGAACCGGAAATTGTTAATTTATTCATATAATGATATAAAAATGCTGGGTATATTTGATTGTCGAGAACGAGGGAAGGGAAAAGTTCCACAAAAGTCAGTTCGGATGAAACTTACGAAACATATGGGGCATTCCATGTCAATTCGACCGCTTTAAACCCTGACCATCTCAGATTCGTTTCATTTTTTTTTATGATTCTACTCGATGAAAACTCCACCCTGATTTTTTTTCAGATTTTTTCATCAATTCTTTAATTTTGCTTCCGAATGGAAGCATTGTAATCGTTCTATTTTTCGATTTTCTAATTTTGCTTGGAAACGATGCAGAATGGTCTGAAACGTAAAAATACGAAGTTTGACCACCCCGTGTGTCTGTGCGGATGTCCATTGGATGGTCAACTGTTAGAAAATTGGAAAATTAACCGGCTAAAGTGATTCAGAAAAATCTGAAATTTTGTCAGATTATAGGTGTTAATGACGACTAACTCTATGCCGAATTTCAGCTCAATCGATCCAGCCGTTTTCGAGAAATTGCCATTTATTTCTAAATCGTTTTTCGCAAATATCTCGAAAACCATCCAACCGATTTCATTTTTTTTCCAAAATACTCGTCTCGACGTCACTTATAATAATCAATCAAAATATATATACCGGTTCGTTCAAAGTTTTCGAGATATTTCAATTTTTCTGTTTTTTATTAAAAATGTTTGTGAGCACTCTCACATTCGTAAAAATTGATATATTAACTTGAAATTTGGCACGAAGTTTCGTCTGTGCACTAGAATGTTTGGTATTGAACACGGGCTCAATTGGGTTGTAAGTGTGGGAGATATTGAAGTTTGTATCTGAATCTAGTTTCTTGAATATCTCGAAAACTATTCAACCGATTTCATTTTTTTTTTTAAATCCTCGTCTCGATGTCATCTATAACAGCCAATCAAAATATATATACCGGTTCATTCAATGTTTTCGAGATATTTCAATTTTTCTGTTCTTTGTTAAAAATGCTTGCTAGCAATCTCACGTTCGCAAAAATCGATATATCAACTTGAAATTTGGCATGAAGTTTTCTCTCTGCACTAGAATATTTGGTATTGAAAATGGACTCAGTAGGATTATTAGTTTGGGAGATATTCAAGTTTATGTCTGAATCGAGTTTCTTGAATATCTCGAAAACTATTCAAACAATTGCATTTTTTTTTCAAAATGCTCGTCTTGATGTCACCTATAATAATCAATCAAAATATATATACCGGTTCATTCAAAGTTCTCGAGATATTTCAATTTTTCTGTTTTTTGCTGAAAATGCTTGTTAGCACTCTCATTTTCGCAAAAATCGATATATTAACTTGAAATTTGGTACGAAGTTTTCTCTCTGCACTAGAATATTTGGTATTGAAAATGGACTCAATCGAATTATTAGTTTGGGAGATATTCAAGTTTGTATCTGAATTTAGTTTCTTGAATATCTCGAAAACTATTCAACCAATTGCATTTTTTTTTCAAAATGCTCGTCTTGATGTCACCTATAACAATCAATCAAAATATATATACCGGTTCATTCGAAGCTTACGAGATATTTCAAATTTTCTGTTTTTTGCTAAAAATGCTTGGTAGCACCTACACTTTCGAAAGAAGAGAAGAAAACATTTGATGAGCAAACTGGAGTGACTGAAACGAAGCGAAGAAATCAAGAAGAACCACTAATGAACAAAGAACAGCGACTAGCCAAAGCTGCAGAGCAGAAAATGAAGTGGGAAGCTACGAGAGGGAATAAAATGAATGGAGAAAAGAAAAATTCAGAGAAATAAAATAAAAATAAGGGTATTACATGTACGCGGGCACATAGAGGAAAAAAATTATGAAGAAAGTCAACAAACATCATAAAAAAAGGATGAAAAATTGGAATAAGGAATAATTATCAACAAATAAGGATTCTGAAGTTATAATATCATGAAAAAATTGTGTTGAAAGCACCAATGGTGATTACTGTGTGTCATTCTCAGGTCCATTGTCGAACGATAGTCTTGTTTTTTTTTAATGTTCCGTCGTGATGTCTTGAACCAACACATGCATTCGCGCCCATGAAATTTCACGAGATATTTACATTTTTCCGTTTTTTCACAGAAAATCATCTTTTTTTTTCATAAAAATCATCGTAGCTTATGCAAAAATAAAGATATCAACTGAAATGTGAAGAGAATTTTCCTCTGACGATAACAATAGTTGATATTCAAAATGGGCTCAATTGCTTCAGTATTTTGCGAGATATTCGAGTTTTTCTGGACATCTTGGTAAATGGTTCAAACCATTCGGAAGCCGGCCATCAATTTATTGATGGCGAAAAAAAAAAAAAGTTATAACCCATCAAGTAACGGTCAGATGCCCTCTCCCAAAAAGGCTTCAACCCCTGCTTGTTTTATCAATTTTTGAAGTAGATTAACGAAAGCACCATTTTGAAAATTTGAAAAAATTCACAAAAATTTTATACTATCAAAAAATTATTTCAAGCTATTTTTTAGAGTGTAAATAGAGATAGTATGCCCTACGCTAGCCCTATTTCTTTATGCGCTAGGAAAAAAATTACATTTTATCTATAGAATTTACGTTAACGGAAGTGCTGAATCCGAATTCGACGTCGATTTTTACAAATTGTGGATAGGTCTATTTATTTATAACATTTTTATTGTTTAATCACTCATATCATGGAAACGGTTGCAGATAGAGAAAAAAATTTCAAACAAAAGATGTTTATTATATACACATACACATTTTTTATCTATTTGAAACGCAACTAAAATTCCAGAACATTCTGGTCGACTAGTTCGGCCTACTTCCAAAATCTCCGGGACCCTTCGGGTCATCAGTCATAAGTGACCGAAACACGCGCGAATCAGTTTATCAGCTGTAGAAGTCTTACATCGCACTTCACCGAGTACAGTAGCTTCTTGAACCTCACCTAGCTCACTAGTAACCAAGTACATCACCGGCCTTTGTAAGATGAACATTTCTTCAGTACATCACTACAATAATTAGTTAAACTTCAACTGAATTCAGTGATTCAACCTCATAAAAATTGCAGACTATCAACAGTGACAATTTACGGAAGAGTGTTTAAATTATTAACGACGAGGTTCGATCCCACGAATCAACAGTGATATTTTTATAATTAGTGCCATGATTAATTTTTCAGCATCTCCCTCCATATTTTTCTCCCACATCCACCCTAAACCTAGTTCCTCACCAAACATTATCATATAACTTTTTTTCCTAACTGTGGTAAATAAAGAGTTGTCATGGATGGGAGGGAAGTGGACAGGACGTTAACACTTGCGCGGATGTTGGGGCGCTCGATGCCTTTATTGGCAAACTCGATTGAGATAGAGGAAAATGGTTCAAACGAAAAATGTTCATTATTGAATTTGACATATAATTGATGATTTGCCATTTGATCCGTTAATTTTTAATGAATTTTCTAAGTTGATTGACGAAGGTCCCTACTGGGAAATTTGAAAAAAATTACAAAAATTTGATATTATCGACAAAGTATTTTGCGGCATATTTTAGAATGAATATGAAAATTAATCGGGTAATAGCTGCATTGATTCAAAAAAATACTCATTATTGTCAGATTATAATTTTTCTTGCAAATACTAGTTATTTCTATAAATTGAATTCTGATTTTGTTCATGATTTTTTTTTTCAATTCTAAATCATGAGATAAGGCATCAGTTAAAATTTCAGTCCAAAATAAAATTTGTTGAACGAGTTATGATGTTTTTAAAACTTTGCGTTTTTTTCGTTTCTAAAAAAAATTCCTATCGCCCTTGATTCCCACTGAGCAAAATCAGTGTCATCGATTTTTTTCGAATCCCGGTTTCACGTGGAATCGCCCAGGAAGGAATTGAATAGTTAATGAATATCGAGAGAAGTCAATAATCAAGTCGAAGTAAGCCCTAAAATGTACATTTCGGCGAATCTCCATGGAATTTTTTCTTCATCTTCGGCGATTTTAATGATTAAGAGCTGAAATTCAAATCTGTCCTTCAAGAAACTACGATTGATAAGTCTATAGAAATAGATTTGCGGTATTCACTGTGCTCAATGACAAAAAATTTGTTTTTATGTAAAAATATATGAATTTTATCCTGCGGAATTCAATTCTCCTCTATCTCGATCGAGTTTGCCAATAAACGCATCAGAGCGCCCCAACATCCGCGCAAGTGTTAACGTGCTGTCCACAGCCCTTCCGTCCATGATAACTCTTTATCTATCGCAGTTAGGAGAAAATGTTATACAATAAAAAATGTGTATTCTTACATAGCAAACATCTTTTGTTTGAAATTTGTTTCTCTATCTGCAACCATTTCCATGATATGATCGATTAAACAATAAAAATGTTATAAATAAATAGACCTGACCATAACTTGTAAAAATCGACATCGGATTCGGATTCAGGACTTCCGTCAACGTAAATTGCATAGATAAAATGTAATTTTTTTCCTAGCGCATACAGCAATAGGGTCAGCGTAAGGCGGACTATTTTTATTTCCACTCTAAAAAATTGCTTGAAACAACTTTTTGATAGCATACAATTTTTGTGAATTTTTTCAGATTTTG